AGAGAGAGAGAGAGAGAGAGAGAGAGAGAGAGAGAGAGAGAGAGAGAAATCGAGTGTTCAGAGAAGCAGATGTGCGATTAGAGCGTGAGCCGGGGAAGCGTGCAGCCGAGGTGCAAGGGGAGAGAGCCGGCGAGCATCCTGCAAGGAGTCCCAGCACTCCCCGTGTGAAGATCCCCTCACACACACTCTCTCATTCACACACAGGACCCACCCACACACACACAGGCGACCTACACACACACACACACAGTTGCTCTGACACATTTGCACCCAAATTCTCATAAAAAAATATTCCTCTTTATGCTTACTTGCAAAAAGTAGCGAATATAAATAAATATAATCATTTGAAGGCAATGCCCTAAATTAAAAGACAGCAAAACAGAAGTCTAACTCATAATTGCCGTGTCTCTCATTTCCAATAAAATGTGGTATGAAATGATATGTAGTGTTTTCCAGTAATTGTGATATATTTCATCAGCGGCAGGCATAAGAAATGATGGTTTAATTATTTCCAGTGAAGAGAGAGAAAGAAGCCACCGTGTCTCTGTCGTAAATTTCCATTTTGTACACTACCCCCCCCCCCCTCCCACTCACACTCGCGCACACACACAAATGCACACACACGCACACACACACACACACACACACACACACTTTCTCCCTCCGCTGTCCCACTCTTTTCCTTCTCTCCCCCAACTCAAGCCTCTCCTATCGGGCCTGTATGTCCGACCCGCACAAGGGGCCCCGGTCGGTAATTGCCCCGGTGACAACTGGAAATGATAGAATAATTGTCAGGAGAGGCGTCTGGGCTTTCTTTTTTTCTTTTTCTTTTTTTTAATGGGGCGAGGGTTGATTTAAGTATGCATGAATGGCACGGTGGTGGTGAGGTGGCGAGAGGGAGAGTAGAGAGAGTGAGCGGGGGGATACTGGGGCGGGGGCTGGGTGGTGGCGGCTGGCGGGGGGGGGGGAGCTGGCTTGTTTATGATGCCATCCCCCATAAACACGGCTGAAGTGATGACACAGATAGTGTTGCCTCTCCATGGGGTGACACCAGTAGACTTGCGGCCGTTGCTTCTAGACTCCCTCGGCATTGGCAGAGGCAGGCACTCTGTTCTCTGGTCAAGCTCTCTGGCACTCCTCACCTTCAGGTAAAAGAAAAAAAGTCAGGCAGACTGTCCATCTATCCATCCATCATCCATCATCCATCATCCATCCATCAATTCTGTGTCATCCGTAGTCGACTCCAGGCTCTTGGCTGTGTTTAATGGTTGTGTTTTATTGCCGGGCTGTGTCTCACTGTGTAACCGTGCAGCCTCGGTCTGCGGGCTCTGTTAATCTGCTGCTTAATTAGTGCTGATGAATGGCTCAGTGTGTGTGTGTGTGTGTGTGTGTGTGTGTGTGCGTGTGTGCGTGTGCGAGTGCACGCATACAAGTGAGCGTGCACACGCACCGCTCTGTGTTTGTGTGTCCGTTGCGAGCGTGCGCGTGCGTCTGTGAACTCACTTACTGTGGTAATTTCTGCTCTCGCATTAGCTGTGGTGTTTTTCAGATGTTGCCACTTGCTTGCTAAGCTAATCATTGATCATTAAAATCAAGAGGACGGGGATTTACTATTGTAGTTAAACAGAATAAAAGGGCACGGCCACTGTACAACCTTTCAAAAGGTAATAACAGTCAAATATGAATCGGTTGCAGTTGTGTGTTTTGCGAGGGCAACGCTTTTGCTTGAAGTTTGACTTATTTGTTTTTCTTCCATCTCTTGGTGTTGGGGGGGGGGGGGAGAAAAAAATCTTTGGAGCAGATGTTTTAGTTTGAAGAGAGGAGAGAGGTCACGAGACTGATAATCGGTGAAGCACTAATTATCTTTATCAAAAGGCGAGTGGGATCATTTGTTTACTTAAATATTGATGAGGGTGAGCATGGCACGGTATTGGGCTATTGTGGGCATATTATTAACATTTCATAGGGCTTTGTGCAGGAATGCGAAAGGGACTCCTCTTCATAATTTAATACCCTAATGCATAATGAGCTATGTGATTAGTTCACATGGAGAATTGGCCAAACTCCATTTTGAAGGCAGATAATTTACATTGTTCTCCAGAGTCTGGCATATAATAGCTTCTTTAGCGCAATACAATTAAATGCTACACATTTTATATTTCAGCTTACAAATCCCCCTGGCAATATTCAGGTTTGAGTCCCTCTCTGTCCACGTCTGTCTCATTTTGTTTGAAAAAAAAAAAAAATAGAAGCCGGGGGGGGGGGGGGAAATGAATTTTAAAATAGTTTAACTAAAACACATGTTTATCTACATGTTTTATTTAGAATGCACACTGGCCAATTAACACTGTTCATTAGCAGAGCCGCGTTATTTGTTTTGAAAGTTGAACCAATCACTTTGTTATGCTAATTGTGATGTAATTTAATTTGAGTTCCCGTAATGATGATGCCGCTATTATCCACATAAATGATGCAGTTAAGCAGCACGCTCTCATTTGCATGTGCTTGAAGGGAGAGGGGCTGAAAGGAGCCGGCTCCCGTATCACTCTGCTTTAATTTTCCAGCTCTGTTCACTCCTGCCCTATGGGTCTTCCTGGCCTGTCGCTGGCTATTGATGATCAGCACTTTTATCTGCATTTTTTTTTAATGACAAAGAGGCCTTTATTTGTCTGCTAACAGATTCCTAGAACTGCGTGTGTTTAGAAATTAAATAATGGAAATATGAGACTATTAAAAAATGCTAATTATTTTTTTTTCTTAGTCTATGTATCAAACAGTAATTGAACAATTGATTTGTGTGCCTCCGTGACACACACACCTACTACACACAGATGCACTCCCCTTACTTCACATTTTCATTGGTTCTGTTTTGGATCGTGGCATGTGGACACAGGGGCTTCTTGAATTTCATATTTCCATATCAAAGTGGTGCTTTGTTGCCAAGGGCTTAATTTTTAATCTGTTGATTCCATCATCATCTTTCGGTTTTGACATTATTCAGATGTGGATTGAATAGTCGGGTGTGTGTTTTTTTTTCTTTAAATGGAGAGGTGAAGTCAAGCTGTCAGGCAGTACACAGTCAACCGGTCTCTGCATATTTTTTTGTAAAATCAATTTCTTAATGCTAAGAGGAGTGAGAGCGATCCTTTCTTCCGAGCAGTCTTGAAGTCCCCAACCGGGCATGGGGAAAGTGTGACTAAGCCGCTGTTAAAGGCTGCCCATTATCTATTTCTTTGTGGGTTCGACTTTAGTAATTTTACTGTGGACAGATTCTTTTTTCTCCTGACCAGTCCCCCCCCCCCCTTCCCCTGTTATGCGCCTAATTGGTTACATAAATCTTGTCTGGTATGAATGAGGAATGTTGCGGTGTTGTCAACTGCAATCTTCACCCTTATTTACCAATTCATTAAGATCTATCGATGCAGGACTGCTGAAGGGGAATGACAACATAAATCAGAGCTGGAGACATAATGGCCCTAATCAACCAGAAATAACTGGAAACGTCACAATGAGCTATGTCTCTGTAGCTGCGCCAGCCGCCGCTCGCTCCCTGCGCCTGTCCGCTGGATCTGCCGCGCTGCGGAGAGGACCGGAGACTCGGGCCATCCAACTGTGATTAGTTCCTCTGATTTTTCTCTTCTCCCCCTTCGACAAGTCACGAGACCAGTGTAAAAGAATTTGTCCATTTTTCTCCTTTTTTGTTTTCCAACTCTTGCTCCATGTCAAAGCAGCTCAGTCCTGATCGCTTCAGCTCAGGTAGGGGGATATAACGTCTTTTCTGAGTGGAACACTTCCACGCATTGGGGGTCTATAAATACAGTTAGGTCGGAAGCACCCTGCATTCACCGGCACACCTCCTCTGCTCTTGGTAAAGATGATTGGACGAGACAATGAGGCCTCCCCTCTTTATAGGTCAATTAGCCCTGATTAGGTGGGCCGAGTTAATTAATGGAATTGGCAAATATGCAAATGAGAGCCGACTGATCAGCTTTCGTCACTGTCTCGCTCAGCCACAGCGGTGGGTGCTGTCTCCTGCTTCAGCAGAATGAGGTGCCCGATGTGTAACGTGTAAATGATATGGGACGAGCTTAAATGCAAGGGGGGGAAAAAACCGAGTTTCTCTCCTCCTCTTTTACTCTGCTGCTAGGGGCGTGCTGCGCTACAGTCATATATTTAAGAAGTGCGGATTTACTGCTTAGTCAAGTAAAAAGGAAAAAACTGTAAATTATTATATTTCATCTTGAAATGTTCTTCCCCTTTATGACAGAATGATTCATTGTTGATTTTAATTTAACATTTTCATGTTGGCCTATCATTCGCTCTTTTAGTAGTAATTGGATAGCCCTTGTACAACACCTGTTTTGTTGTATTTCAGAGCTGGTTGTGTTCATATAAAATGAATTTGTATGAACATAGCATCATGCACACTATTCATGAGTGCCTCTTGCATTTGATTCTGAGAAGACATTGTGCAGACTCTACAATTGAACATGCAC